AAAATTGATATTCATGGTCTGAATCTGTAAAAATGAAAAAGTGATGTAGTAAATTTGATAAAAATATTACGCATCCTGCGTTCGCAAACACACGAGTCTCATAAATTGTACAATTATTGTGATAAATAACAATTTAAATGTGAGGAATAACATAAATTTTGAATATAATTGGATTATGGCAGAGATTAATGAATGCGTGTATAATTTTAAACCATGGGTTTCAATTATGAAATTTCTATAATTTTAATATACCTACGATTGCGAAATGTTTATTTCTGAATTTCTCTTGTACAGTGTGGTCCAATTTCGATGGGATTAAATGGGTAAATTTCTTATTGGCGCAGATAAACGGTTTAAATACTCGTGACTTATTTTTTCATGCTTATTTCATTACCGTTGCCAGAGATATGCTCCCGTCTTTTGTTTTTTCACTAGAGAGAAAAACTGAAAAATGGCCGATTCCTCCAATTTGTTGTAACTCCTTTATTTCTGAAGCTAGAACAAAATGACTTTAGCATTATTAGGCACTTTTTAACGTGAAATCAATGCTGTCAGTTCTAGTCCTTTTAGTAACTGCGTTGTAACTCAAAGTTGATAAGTAACTGCAATCTTGTAAATAACAGAGTGACGTGTCTATGTATTCCGCTATATTAACCTAACAAAAAAATACCTGGTCTTTAAAGCTGCGAATAATCTGAACCTTTTTTGTTTGACAATTTTTGCTGGATCTCTAAAAATAAAATGGTGGGCGGTGTTCAAAGGTTTCTTTAAAAAAAACACCCTGTATCTTCGAAACGGCTGCACCCAATTTAACAAACTTGGGATATTATAATATTATAATATTTGAAGTTTTTTAGTTTCAAATGTCGCCTCTAGGAGAAGGTAGAGAAAGAAAGAAAGAGAGAAAGAAAGGAAGAGAGAGAGAGAGAGAGACGCAGAGGGCTTTTTTCGACATTCCGACAGAAATGGTTAATTTTATCAAAAAAATTAAACGCATTGGTATGATTTTTTTTCATGAAAAAGTAGCTCAATGATTCCTAAACAAGCTCGCGAAAACTGCAACTCAACATCTTGTTCCTAACCAAAAATTTAAGCCAAAGAAAATTTTATACCCTTTCATTTTTATTAATGAGCTTCTACCGAGTTTATAATTTTGCGGTGTCTGTCTGCCTGTCCGTCTGTAGGTCTGTCCGTCCGCCCGTTAGCACGATATTTCGGTAACGAATAGACCGATTACGACGAAATTTTCTAGGTGGATTCTTCATCAAATTTGTAGATCGAAGTTCGTGAATTCGCAATGTAGATAAAAAAATAAAGAACGCTCTTTTGACATCTCTGTTGGTTTACAACTAACAGAGATGTCAAAAGGGCGTTCTTTATTTTTTTACCTACATTGCGAATTCAATTGTTAGTTGTAAACCGAATTGCATGAAATTCAATATGGGCATAGCTCAAGGCATATAATAGGCAATTCCAAAACTTGAGTCTAATCGATTCAACATTCAGAATGCCCTTTTTTTATTTATGAAGGTATTTGAATGAAATTTGATACATAGGCACTTGGAATAAAAGCAAAGGTCCCCCCAGTTAAAAAATTTGGTTTTGCGCATGCTATAGCCATACGCAGGAGCTCGTTTTCTATATTTGATATATTTTATTTTAATTATTCTGGAATTCTATTTTACACATAAGAATAACACACGGAATATCTTCGGTTTCGGTTGAAAACTGATTCTCTACATGGTGTCTCGATGATTCACCCTAAAACCCGGCTAAATAAATCTTTTGACGAAAAACCAAAAACAAAAAAATTCATTCTTGCAACCCTGCTCGCTGCTTTTCCATTCATCTGCTGAACTGAAAAATTCTATTGAATTTAAAGGTTGTTCCTAGATTTATTATAATATCTCGTCACTATGAGTAAATATGTGGCTTGTGGTTTTGGGATTTTACAGATAACCTCTTTATATGTTGTATGTTCTAATGTTTCTTCTTCTTATTTGGTGAAGTTATACCGCGTATACGTCTTAGCTAGTCTTTTGGACTTCAACGCCTTTATCACGACTTCTTATAGTTCAGTTTCAATTAAATTTTAAGAAATAAAAGGAAAAAAATTATCAAAGTCCTCGTTTGAGATCGAAGGGACTTCAGCGCATTTTTGTGTGGCAGATCAGTATTCTATTAGCCACTTTCGATTCAACCATCAATAACAGATCTTGTCGAAGGCTACTACATTCACTAACCGCTTCCCACTTTCCTCGTGCACCCGCAATTCGCTTTTAAAGATTTGACTCCACCATCAGGAAGATCGTGTCGGGGGCTACCACATTCCCTTTGACGGTACCCACTTCCGACGTTCGGTTCACCCGCAATTCGCGTTTGAAGATTTGACTCCACCATCAGGAAGATCGTGTCGGGGGCTACCACATTTCCTTTGACGGTACCCCCTTCCGACGTCCCGTTCGCCCGCAATTCGCGATTGAAGATTTGACTCCACCATCAGTGAGATCGTGTCGCGGGCTACCACATTCCCTTTTACGGTACCCACTTCCGACGTCCCGTTCACCCGCAATTCGCGTTTGAAGATTTGACTCCACCATCAGGAAGATCGTGTCGGGGGCTACCACATTCCCTTTGACGGTACCTCCTTCCGACGTCCCGTTCACCCGCAATTCGCGTTGAAGATTTGACTCCACCATCAGTGAGATCGTGTCGCGGGCTACCACATTCCCTTTTACGGTACCCACTTCCGACGTCCCGTTCACCCGCAATTCGCGTTTGAAGATTTGACTCCACCATCAGGAAGATCGTGTCGGGGGCTACCACATTCCCTTTGACGGTACCTCCTTCCGACGTCCCGTTCACCAGCAATTCGCGTTTGAAGATTTGACTCCACCATCAGGAAGATCGTGTCGGGGGCTACCACATTTCCTTTGACGGTACCCCCTTCCGACGTCCCGTTCACCCGCAATTCGCGTTTGAAGATTTGACTCCACCATCAGGAAGATCGTGTCGGGGGCTACCACATTTCCTTTGACGGTATCCCCCTTCCGACGTCCCGTTCACCCGCAATTCGCGATTGAAGATTTGACTCCACCATCAGTGAGATCGTGTCGCGGGCTACCACATTCCCTTTTACGGTACCCACTTCCGACGTCCCGTTCACCCGCAATTCGCGTTTGAAGATTTGACTCCACCATCAGGAAGATCGTGTCGGGGGCTACCACATTCCCTTTGACGGTACCTCCTTCCGACGTCCCGTTCACCAGCAATTCGCGTTTGAAGATTTGACTCCACCATCAGGAAGATCGTGTCGGGGGCTACCACATTCCCTTTGACGGTACCCCTTCCGACGTCCCGTTCACCCGCAATTCGCGTTTGAAGATTTGACTCCACCATCAGTGAGATCGTGTCGCGGGCTACCACATTCTCCTTTTACGGTACCCACTTCCGACGTCCCGTTCACCCGCAATTCGCGTTTGAAGATTTGACTCCACCATCAGGAAGATCGTGTCGGGGGCTACCACATTCCCTTTGACGGTACCCCTTCCGACGTCCCGTTCACCCGCAATTCGCGTTTGAAGATTTGACTCCACCATCAGGAAGATCGTGTCGGGGGCTACCACATTTCCTTTGACGGTACCCCCTTCCGACGTCCCGTTCACCCGCAATTCGCGATTGAAGATTTGACTCCACCATCAGTGAGATCGTGTCGCGGGCTACCACATTCCCTTTTACGGTACCCACTTCCGACGTCCCGTTCACCCGCAATTCGCGATTGAAGATTTGACTCCACCATCAGTGAGATCGTGTCGCGGGCTACCACATTCCCTTTTACGGTACCCACTTCCGACGTCCCGTTCACCCGCAATTCGCGTTTGAAGATTTGACTCCACCATCAGGAAGATCGTGTCGGGGGCTACCACATTCCCGTTGACGGTACCCCCTTCCGACGTCCCGTTCACTCGCAATTCGCGTTTGAAGATTTGACTCCACCATCAGTGAGATCGTGTCGCGGGCTACCACATTCTCTTTTACGGTACCCACTTCCGACGTCCCGTTCACTCGCAATTCACTTCTATTGGCGACACGAGAAAGAGAGACAGCGATTCGAGATTCACGAAACGTTAAACCGCGTGAGTTCGCAACGGAAGGTAAAAGGCGCCTGACTACTTCTCGAAGACGCGCGCGCCGCCTCGCAAAAGGTCGTTAATTTCGCCCCTATGACAAAAAACAAAATTCCGCCACGCAGGAGTTGTGCGCGTTTACAACATCTTTCCGACGACACCAATTTCAAAAGAATCGGACCAAAACTGTAGTAGAAGATAGGAAAAAACTGAAAAACCTTCACGTTAGTATACTACGCTCGAGGATGACGCCCAGATGTCGCCAACCCCACATCATGTAGCCATGTCCCTAAGGTTGACAAATTTCACGGCCCTGTAGATACACGTACACCCGTTGCCTTTCTACAAGAGTTCTTCTACGCGCCCACATTTGCTGCCAGCCAGCCAGCCAGCCAGCCAGCCAGTGAGATTAAAAGCTACTTTTTACAAAAAAAATTTTTTGCAAAAATGCGCTAAAAATAGCTTTGTAGGTTCGATTAGACTGGAATACAAGCAAATAGACGATAGGTATGTGCAAACATTCAATTTTATCTTAACTTAAATATGACCTCGTTGACCGCATATTTTTGTTTTATCGACATTTATTAGAATAATATTAATTTATGGTAATTCGTAATTGATATGGTTATTAGCATTGAGAATGAGATGTGTATATTGTGCAATGCTGCAATACCAGCAGTCGGAGACTGGAACGGTTTAAATTTCAAATTTGCAAATAGCAAATTTCTACAATCTTTACCCATTTCCTTTTTTGTTTATTAAGAGCCGATAAGATAAGAAATTATCCGTTCAATTTAAATAGAGGTAAGATGTTTAAATATTTAGCCGTTGTGTCGGATATCAAGGTGTATTTTAAAAGGGGGGCAAAGGGTTCTTCCAACGCATACTCAGTCAAGACCAAACACTCGACGAACGTTGTTTCAATCCTCGTAGAAGGAAGAAAACCGGTGTTGTGTTCGTGTAGGTAGCGAGTACTGTACGCTTATTTTTCTAACAAAAAGTGCAAAACGTGATTCAGTGCGAAATGGCAAATAACAGAGCAACGAAAAGTGGATTTGCAGCCGAGGCCCAAAGAAAAGTAATTATTCCATTTTCTTTGTCAAGTAGTAGTAGTTTTAAGGCGGCTCTAACGCAGGTGGTCGGGCGGCGATTATTCTCTCTTAATTTCGATTCGACTCCCTTTTCTGGGGCATTAGCGTTATCGCATAAAATAGGTCAAGGAAGGAGTGCTTGAATCGATAAGTTTGGGGAACGGTCGCGTCCAGGATTTTTGCGTTGAACTTTGCTAGTTGCTAAATGCTGATAAAAAGTCGCATTCCACGTGTCTCATTTCAATTTTTTATTCGCCTGAAATTCCGAACGTAATTTTTGCTGCGAATCCCTTTGTGCGAATTTTATTGATTAATTGTCGCACATTTATTTTTGCGCGATGATTTCATAAACGGTATTAACAGTAATTTCTAATCTTATCAACAATTTTAGTGGATTATTCATCAAACATCTGGCAGTACTTTGTCGCCCAACCATCGTCACTACGCGCAGCAGGTATTGGAACGCTCACCTACCCCTCGCGATTTTTTTGTCGTCACAGGTGACTAACGTATTTATTTCGCGGGAAATTTACCTGCGCCCTTTTTTGTCGTTGGTTCAAAGAGACTGGGTACTTAAAAAAGTAGATATTTACAATCCTAAATTGCCTGCTGCTTGACTAGTTTTAAGTGTTCTAAAAATAGAACTCGTAAATCGAAGGTAGGTACCATTGTTTCGTGTTCGTGTTCAAGTAGGTATGCGGCTTTATATGGTAATGGACTAATGGTAAACTTAATTTTTTTGTCAGAGGGAAGTACTTCTGCTTAAAATTATTCTTCGATTTCACCCCCACGACTTAATTACTTAATAGTTAATACCTATTCATTTTTTGGTTAATTATAACTTTAAAAATAGAAATTTGGTAATGTGTACCAACGCAAACAATACAGTGAATTTTGTTCGATTCAAAGGACATTCGAGATTTTATGCCAAATAAGGAAAACTTTGGTAAAAGAAGGTTCTTACTGTAGAAAATACCACCTATAAATATAAACGTGTATCAAAAAACACCAATTTGGAGAACCGGTAACCAAATTAATCTAGGAATGCCGCGGATGACTGTTCGATTTGGAGAATTTCGATCAATTCAGGTCAACCAGGATTGTACGAAATAACTACCTTATTTCCGAACATGTCCACTTAGCTCATTTTTATCCTTATATGTAGACATAATTCCTTACTTACCTCACAGGTCTAATCATGACCTTCTCTATGCTATGATCTAATACGGCAATGATTTAAAGTGACGAAATATTCGAAAATATTCAGTGCTGGCACCCGTCAGGTACCTCCATAGATTCCGTCAGTTTCAAGTTGGTCCCGAGGGGTTGGTCTTATTTTCTGGGACTTCATTCATTGCCTAAAAATTGCCACTATTTCCCTTAATTACCCAACATTTCTAGCATTGCCTTCAATTTCCCCAGATTTACACAAAATGAACGTGAAATGAGTAACGTTACTTCCCTATAGTTTATTTTCTTAAAATTTCCTCATAATTCTCTCTAATTAGGTCAAAAGTTTCCAATATTTCCTCATATCTTTGAAATTTCCTCAAATTGCTAATATTTCCCCAGAGTTTCCCCTAATTTCGTCCATTTCCAATTACATATTTCTCAGATATTTTCGCGAGATTTCGTTTGTGCGGGACAAGAATTTCCCTCGTGATCGATCCCTCGATCCGAGCCTCCATAACAAACTTATTTGCCAAATAAACTGAGCGTCCGAAATGAGCTCGGAAATGAGTTAGTTTCATCTTCGATTTCATCTTTTATCTATATGCACTGTACCTAGTTCCTGAGAAAAATAACAAGTTCAAAAGCAATCGCAAATGGTGAAATTTCTTTTCGAAATGTCAAAAATTTCAAATTCGTGATTTTCATGTTCAAAAACCCTCTGATACCAAATTTCGTCAAAATCGGAATCTTTTCGCGCCGCCATTTAGGGGTTGCGTCCTTGCATGTTTCGTGGTAGGAACTTAAAATTACAAAATAGGAAAGCGCACTCCAAAACCTATATTCAAAGACGTGCCACCAGTCTGTAACAAAAACTATAGCTGATAAAATAAAGAAAAAATTCTACCACTTTTTTGAGGGTGGCACGATGTCCGATAGGAAAAACCACGGCGTAAAATAATAAGGGGTGTATGAACAACGTACCTCTACCTTTAGTATAATCACAAAGTCTGGTTTATAGTCAATGCAATGTACGGAAAAAGGAAAATTTAGGCTGTCGATCCCACTTTTACTGGTTGAGCATATGGAGTTTCCTTACGAAAATCATGATCGCGTACATTTACATATTTTAAAACGCAGAGCAAACCGAAAGAGATACGAAGAAATCTCTGACTTTTATTTATTTATTTATTTATTTATTTATTTGTTTAGCCAGATACCATACAGAATACAATTATTCCAATTACCTGGCACTGGGATGCTGTACTTAAAACTAAAACGACATAGTAATTACGATCTTATATGACTAATTAATTCATTCAAAGAGCCGTGAAATACATCGATGTCTCTCTCACGGCACTTCTTATTTAAAGCCAACAGGCTCCTCGATAGTGGCGATGACGGAGTGGTCACTAAAAAGATGATATCTTTTTTCCTTAATTTAACATGTGGCACTTTGAGTTTAATTTCCTGAAGCAATTCTGGGGCATTTAGGTGATTATTCAGTATCTTGTACACAAAGGTAATGGAGAACAAGATGGAGAAGATGAATTGTAGAGCACCAAATTTTATACAAAATAAATCTGCGAAGGGATATGCGTATTTTTAACCGTTTTTGAATTCTCTAAGTGCATGAGTTCCATGGTCCATATCTGCTTTTTACGTAGGTATCCATTTCGCGTTTAGCGCTGTTCACACATTATTCCTAAACACTAAAAATAAAAAAACCTTCTCTTTTCCACTTTTTGACCTCTACAAGACGCCGCGAGAATACCTATCAGTCAAATTTTCCATTTTCCAGGAAATTTGCCCGATACATATTCTCACACGATTAGGGCGTGTTGCGCGGGTGCACCATTCTGTTGAAACCAACAGTTTCTAACTTATGTTTTTTTTGTGTGTCGTACACCGTTGTATGCGAGGTTCTATTATTGATAAAAAATGCCTGTGAAACTCAACAAGTTAAAAAGTAATCGTAAACGATTTACATAAAGCGCATTTCCACTTGCATTCATTTCCCATTTGTAAGATCCAACTTCTGTTAAAATCGTAAAAATCCGGCCACAAATATGAAAGATAGCGTTGCACATGGGCAATCCATTTTTGACGTGCTACTTCAATTTCAGTTTTCATTTCAATGCTTTTCTAAATAAGAAAGTTGGAACTGCGCATGCGCAAACCTAAATTTTAAAACTAATGTTAGATTTCCCTTTGTCCCAAGCGCCTAAGTATCAAATTTCACTTAAATGGTTCCATAGATAAAAAAGTTGGCACTGCGCATGCGCAAAATAAAATTTTGAAACTGGCGCTAGATTTTCCTTTATTCCAAGTGCCTATGTATCACATTTCATTTAAATTCTTCCATAAATAAAAAAGTTGGCACTGCGCATGCGCAAAGCCAAATTTTGAAACTGGCGTTTGATTTTCCTTTATCCCAAGTGCCTATGTATCAAATTTCGTTTAAATTCTTCTATAAATAAAAAAGTTGGCACTGCGCATGCGCAAAACCAAATTTTGAAATTGGCGTTTGATTTTCCTTTATTCCAAGTGCCTATGTATCAAATTTCATTCAAATACTTTTATAAGTAAAAAAGTTTGCAATTCGGTTTATAAATGGTCGAGATGCGAAAAGGGCACTGTGAATTTTGAATCGATTCGATTCAACTTTTGGCATTGCGTATTATATGGCTAAAGCTATGCCCATATTGAATTTCATGCAATTCAGTTCATAACTAACGGAGATGTAAAAGCGATCGAACATTTCTAAACAAAGTTATCGTTCACACGGACAGATAGATGGACAGACAGACAAAGGAACAGACGGAGAGACCAACCGGCAGGCGACAGATAGCAATGCAAAATTATAAACGATCTCTAGGATCGTTAATAAACGGCAAAAGTGTAAAATTATGGAACATGTAAAAACGGTTTTTTGTTTTTTTTTTACAATAACTTTTTTTTTAAGCGGTACAGAAAAAATTCCTTCCTTGGTACAAGACTCGACACCATAACGAACCAAATAGCGAAAAAAGTAGAACAATAGCTCTTAAGATAAAAAACTAGTAGCGTCGCAAAACGAGCGGACGGACGGACGGACGGACAAAGTGGCCACAATAGCGCATTTTTTTTTATTTTTGGGGAAATGCGCTAAAAAGGGACAATGAGAAATGGTTTTTTATTGTTTTGTATCTGTTCAAATATCACCAGAAAAAAATAAAAACGAAATCGGTAAATTTCGGCTTTTATGGCCTATCTTCGGTAGTAATTTGAATTTTTTGGTTTTCTTTAATGTTTAAAGCATGATAATAATTGTTGGTTGTCTTCCCCATTTCATAGCTCGCATCTACCGCTAGGAGAAGTTTGTAAACGGCAAGAATTAAAAATACCTTGCAGCTTTACCTTTTTATTACTGCAACTACGAATTGTTGTTTTACATTCAATTGAAACGCAATTTACGGAATAGGCTATATCATTTCGAGTAAATTGTAACAATGAAACAAATAGACCACGTTTATCTTTTTTAAATTTCTCAAATTGGCCCAAAAGTAAAATAAATAAAATAAGGATAATAAAAAAAACAGCAGTCTGTTAATCAAAACGGCTTACAGAATTTTCAAAAACGGCCAAAAAGCTGCTCTATAAGATGTTATGTGTTTGTTTATTGCTAGATGATCTCACTTCTATATTTATTTGTGTATGGGAAAATGTATGCATCATATGGAGATGACAGATTTGTTTGTATTGTATTCAAATAAACATTTATTAGGAAAACTAACGATGTGAAATGCGAAAACTAGAGATAACGTTTGCTCCCCCT